AAAACAAAGACAATCGGACTATAAAAGGGTAGACAAAGGATGCGAGTTGCTGTATAAAAAGTACCATAAATCCCTAAACAAAATATTCAGCTTATAAATTACCTTAACCAAACTTAACCTAAACATTAACAGTATATACATATTAATACAACATAAACAATTTGAAGCAAGTGGACGTGGGGGAGTACTTAAGTGAGGAGCTGAGATGGCTGACGAGTAAGGCTGAGTATTGTAGAAGACGGTAGGTAGTCACTGCCTGTAGGTTTAGAGGATAGATGATCCTGTGGTCACTTCCCAGAGCCAAGTTTTCCTCGAATTGAGCTAGCACAAAGAAGACTTGAGGAAGTGACGAACAACCAGGATATGGAGGGGAATCCCCGGAGTGTTAACTAAGACGAGTCATACTCGTGTCTCGTCCCTAGATGGCGTTGCTCGTGGTGCTGGGTAGGTAGATCAAGACAATAGATGGCGGTGGTTGTAGTGCTGGGTGGAGGGGTTCGTAACAATACATACACTGAACTCAGAATAAATAAAACGTGGTGAGCGTTATCCGTAGTGTTGAAGATCCATTAACATCACACACCTACACTGACACTTTCCCTAGCTGGTAACACTGATGCCTTCCATAGCTGGAAACACTGATGCCTTCCCTTGCTGGTAACATTGATGCCTTCCATAGCTGGGAACACTGATGCCTTCCCTTGCTGGTAACACTGATACCTTCTCTAGCTAACACTGATGTCTTCCCTAGCTGGTAACACTAATGCCTTCTCTAGCTGGTAACACTGATGCCTTCTCTAGCTGGTAACAGTGATAGTTACAGCAGAAGTAACAGCAATACCAACACAAAGAGCAACAGTAACAACACAAACAACAGTAATAACACAAACAACAACAGTAACAACACAAGCAACACTAGTAACACCAGCCTAATCTCCACCTTCCAGAATGGTCAATAATCACGTGATGTAACACAACATTAGCGGGACCAAGAGCAGCCTACACCATCGACCTCACTCACCTGTAAGAGCTAACCTGGCTGGCTCACGGCTCACTGCCTCTCAAGACGGGACCCTATACTTAATTGATATCGGGAGTGAAATTGATATCTTGAGTAGTGTGTGTGTGTGTGTGTGTGTGTGTGTGTGTGTGTGTGTGTGTGTGTGTGTGTGTGTGTGTGTTTTACTAAGGTTCAACGCCCGTGTACACAACCCCCAGCGACCTCATTATTTCTAAGACGTATCGCCCACTGGACCATATAATTTCGAGGTGTTTTTTCCGTCAATAGAAAATTTATACTGTTTTATATTAAAGGTTTCCATAAAATAATTACATATCGTGTCTTAATTCAGTTCTCTCTAAATTTACTTGACATGATGATTCCTAATAATGAACGCTGATTATAACTGCAAAATTACATTGTCTCTTATAAGTATAATACACTATTATTTATACAACTAATATGTCATAATAGTGTGTTGGCTTACATATAGACATCATTTCTTCCCATAAAACGACTCCGGTACATAAGTATTCATGTAAGAATGTACTGACTACATAATACAGGAAATAAGGGACAATAACGTGATACAGTATTTGTTGTTCTGTATTGCTATTGAAATTAAACAGGAAATGTCAATAGACGTAGATTGGGAGATGGTCTAAATAAGACGATAATATAGTGATGTGGTTATCTTCACTAAACAACTATGTGCAACCTACCTCCTTTCCAACCCTCACTAAATGGACCCCTCCTCCTCCTCCACTCCCTTGCTCCTGTCGTCACACCACCACCGCCAGCCAACTTTTATCAGACATTAGGCAATGACGTTATATTTGGTAATCAGAATAAAATTTGTAGCCATACAGGAAGTATCAGCATTCTTAATTAGAGGAGAATCCTTTTTTGTAACACGTTATCTGACCGCTATAGATGTTGCTACACTGTGCCTCATGTCATCGTTTTCTTTATACCCCAAAACACCCTACGTTCACGGCACGATTGGTACCAAAGTTTATCATGTGGACCTTGTCTCATGTTGGTGGGGAACAAAAAAACCAGTTCTTGAGTTAGCTGAAGGACAAACAGACAGATGGACAGACAGACTAGACAAAAACAATAATCTGCCCTGTTGTTGCTGGCTAGGTAACAACACTAGACCGTGAACAAAGACGACAAACAAAAACTGAGACAACACGTCACTAAACATTTAACAATACAAGATACAAAACAAAAACAGTGAACAGAATCAAGAACACAGGGCAGTAAACCAGGACAGACTGGCAGGAACGAGAGCACAAAGGCCCGTCCAGAGGCCTACAGGGGCGGCCAAGTTAATTAATAAGTTCTTTGATGGCGGGCGAATGTGTAATCAGGCACTCGTCCCTTGAGACTACCTATGCCTCCTCCTCCTCCTCCTTCCTTTCTTCCCTTCCCCTTCTTGTCCTTCCTCCCCTCCCCCTCCTTTCTTTTCCTCCTCCTCCCATTCTTAACTTCCCCCCCTCCCTCCTTGCCTTTCCTCCTCTCCCGCAAAGACATCACAGCAAAGAGAGAGTCCAGTTCTTACTTGAATGAGACCATAAACAAACTGTCAGGAGGTGTATTAACATTCTCCTGAGATTATAACACTAGTTTCAACCCTACTATAACCCCTTACAATATAACCATATATTAGCATTGTAAAGGCCTATACCACTTTCACATAGGCTAGACCAACCAGTACCAAAGTCATCTACCCTTGTCGAGTCGTATCCCATCTCCCAGAGTAACTAAATATATTTATATATATATATACCTTTCTTGACGATACTTATCTCTACTGAAATCTGTCCCATCGACCTATTGCTTACAGTTAAGTCTATCAGTCAAGTCCTTAAATAATACAACTAACTGTCTTGAACACAGCATCCAATGGTCCATACCACAGTGGGACATAAGATAACTCTTTTATTGTGTAATACCACGAGTACACTAATTCCTGTCTCTTGTGTATACCAACATCGTGAAGGTATATCTACAAGAGTATACCATCATGTTGGAGGTATACCTGCAGGAGAGGAGGTATGCCATCAGCCAGGGCGGTGGGCTGGAGGAGACGAGAGACTGAAGGAGGTTGAATATTCATGAGTCCTGGACCTGGTTTTTACGAGGCGGAAGATGGCGGCAATATTTTTATGCGGCTCCGGCACGACCTGATGAGGTTATGGCCTTACCAGGACACACTCACGCTGCCAGGACACACTCATGTTACCAGGACACACACACGTTACCAGGACACACTCTTGTTACCAGGACACACTCTTGTACAGGACACACAGTTACCAGGACATACTCACGATGCCAGGACACACTCATGTTACCAGGACACACACGTTACCAGGACACACTCACGCTGCCAGGAAACACTCATGTTCCAGGACACACACGTTACCAGGACACACTCTTGTTACCAGGACACACTCTTGTTACCAGGACACATTGCCAGGACATACTCACGATGCCGGGACACACTCATGTTACAGGACACAGTTACAGGACACACTCACGCTGCCAGGAAACACTCATGCCAGGACACACACGTTACCAGGACACCTCTTGTGCCAAGACACTCACGTTACCAGGACACCTCATGTTCACCAGACACTCATGTTACAGGACAATTATGTAATCAGGACACTCTCATGTCAACAAGACATACACATGTTACCAGGACACACTCATGTTACCAAGACACTCATGTTACAGGACACACATGTTACCAGGACACACACATACCAGGACACACCCATGTTACCAAGACCCACATGTTATCAAGACACACACATGTTACCAGGACACACCCATGTTACCAAGACACTCACGTTACCAGGACACTCATGTAACCAAGACACACACATGTTACCAGGACAACCTCATGTTACGGACACAATGTTACCAGGACACACTCATGTTACCAAGACACACTCATGTTACCAGGACACACACATATTACCAAGACACACTCACGTTATCAGGACACACTCATGTAACCAAGACACACTCATGTTACCAGGACACACTCATGTTACCAGGACACAGCCACTCCATCCTCTCTCTTCCCTCATCTCTCCTTTCCTTTCATCTCCCTCCCTTCATCTCCCACTCCTCATCCCCCATACCTTCGCTCCTCAATGAAGAAAAATGAAAAATATTTAACATAAAAAACTTGAGCGTGCAGCAGCAGGCGGCTCCTCCCTCCTCTCCCTCAGGGGCTAATGAGTGTGTTTTGACGGCCGTGTGTCCCAGGCCGAGTGTGTCCTAGACCGAGTGTGTCCTAGACTGAGTGTGTCCTAGACTGATGTGTCCTAGCTGGTGTCCCAGGCCAAGTGTGTCCGAGATAGACCAAGTGTGTCCTGGATGAGTGTATCCTATACTAAGTGTATCCTAGACCGAGTGATCTACTGTAGACCGAATGTGTGGCCAGAAAAACTAATCTCAATCATCTTACGCTAAAATTATTTCCTTATCTTTATTTGTACTTTTGTTTGGACAAAGAGAACACGACCGACTGACTGACTCACTTAACCACTGGCAGATTATTCTCAACGAAAAATCATACGTAAAAAAAATCCTCTTAACCAGGGTTGTGAGAATGTGTTTGAAGGTAGAGTCTCAGTGTTATTTTGACGACATTTTTTACCGTTTTAATGGAGCTGTGAAACTGTCAAATCTCAGGTGGTGGTGGTGGGGGTGGGTGAAAAGTTTGAATCTAGTGCAGGAAAATTTTTAAATATCCAGTTAGGAACAAAAAATTACATATTCAGTTAACGGGAAAAATATTTATCCAGTTAGCGAAAAAAATATATAATGATTTTTTTAATAATTATTAGCGGAAAAAAAATATCCAAATACCACAAAAATACACAAAATTAAACACTTTTTTCTCACATATTTTCCCAGAGTAAAGTTTTACCATAACTTGAAATAATATAGTAAGTCGAGACCCACTCAACTGACTCACTACGATGAACGACACAAAGATGGTCTGGGTGATGTAACTGCTTAGCGACTCTCCCGGGTGGCGCAGCTGGTGCTAAGGGGACAGCTGGTATCAAGGCGTAACAAATGATATGGATGTGTTCTGAAAGTTAAAATCATCATTAATAATAATAATTACAAAAATAATAATAATAAACAACAATAATAAAATAATAATAATAATAATAATAATAATAATAATAATAATAATAATAATAATAATAATAAAATAATAATAATAATAATAATAATAATAATAATAATAATAATAATAATAATAATAATAATAATGATAATACCATAACTATGATTATTATTATTAGCATTACTTTTATTATTTTATTGTCATTGGTGCTTTTATTAGTACTACTTTTACCATCATTAATATCATCACTGTACTTACTACAAGTTTTTTCATTCTTCATAAAAAATATGAAACTTAATGACCCCCCCATCCGCCCCCCCCCCACACATAGAGGGGTGAGGGGTGGGGGGTGAAGCACAACACACTTTGGTAAACATGTGAGAACAAAAACACGTGATAAAAGTGATGACAAAGGAGAGAGAGAGAGAGAGAATAACGTCTAGCACACCTGACACTTCCTAATCCCTACACAGCATATCTGACACTTCCCTTGCCTGCAAAAAACTCCAATATCCCATCCATTGCCCACAAGGCCCTACATCTTGCCCCCCCAATAATAATACACACAGAGAGAGGTCCTGGGACAATTTACTGCACTTTATTACCCGTTAAGGTCTTCCCACTACTTGGCCAAATCATCACTTCATGTTCCCTTGACCCGTGAATAGTGTCACTCCTCCGTGATCTGGTTCAACAGCACGTGACCTTGTCTGACCTCTGGAGTGACCTGGTTTAACGTTGTGACCTTGTTTGGCTACTGGGTGACCTGGTTTAATGGTGTGTGACCTTGTCTGACCTATGGGGTGACCTGACTCAACGGTGTGTGTGTGTGTGTGTAATATTAGAATTTTGTCTACCTGACTCAATTTCTCTTTGTTCTTGTGTTTCTGCCATTTTATGTCTATCCGTTTTTCTCTTTCTTTGCCTTTCACTTTCTATATATATTTTTATGTCTATCGTTTTACCTCCACCTGTCAACGTAATTCTTTGTTCAGTCTGTCTGTCTGTCTCCCAAATATTTCACCACCACCATCCTCCATCCTCCTCCTCCCACCACCACCTCCTCTCTCTCCACTACCACCCCTCTCCCCGCCTCCCACCCTCACCACCACCCCTCTCCTCCCCTGCCTCCCACCTCACCTCACCACCCTCCCCGCCCCCACCCTCACCACCATCCCTCCTCGCCCCCACCCCACCACCACCCCCCTCCCCCCGCCCCCACCCTCACCACCACCCTCCCTGCCCCCACCCTCACCACCACCCTCTCCGCCCCACCTCACTCACCACCTCTCTCCCGCCCCCACCCCACTCATCACCCTCCTCGCCCCCACCCTCACCTTCCGCCACCACCTCCCGCCCCTGCAATTCTCACACCACCTCCCCGCCCCCACCCTCACTTCCACCACCCTCTCCCCGCCCCCCACTCCCCTCACTACCACCTCTCGCCCCCCACCCTCACTACCACCCCCTCTCCTCGCCCTTTCACCCTCACTACCACCTCTCCTCGCCCTCTACCACCCTCCTCGCCCCCTACCCTCACTACCACCTCTCTCCTCGCCCCCTACCCTCACTACCACCCCTCTCCTCGCCCCTTGTCCTCACCACTATTATAATGAGCGTTTGGTCTTACCGGAACTGATTTGCATAATGTCATTAACCTGGCTGCTCTTTGGGCTATTCATCTCCGTCGACCGCCTACCACAAGACGGACGGACGGACTGACAGACAGACTTATAGACATAATAATAATAATAATAATAATAATAATAATAATAATAATAATAATAATAATAATAATAATATCAATAATAATAATAATAATAATAATAATAATAATATCAACAATAATAATAATAATAATAATAATAATAATAATAATATATCCTTAATTATTATTTGCATGGTGTTATCTTATTATTATCATTATCTCTTGTTATATTACTACGAAAATCATCATAATGTTTATTCCAATCATCACTATCCAAATATCATAACCACAATTATTATCACGCAATCGGTTATTATCACCATCACCATTAACACCACCACCAACCGCATTATCATTTATACATTCGCTATCATTTTAATTACCACCAAAGTCATCAACATCATCATCGTACTCTAAAAGATTATTATTATTATTATTATTATTATTATTATTATTATTATTATGCTACTGCGACTGTTACTATTATTATGCATGTATAGCAGTAGTAGTAGTAGTGGTAGTAGTAGTACTTTGTTGACTGTTTCTAATCTTTTCTCGTCACTAAAACAGAGTAAAGTATAATTATACCCTACCTCGTCCACATTAGCCCCATGCTTACCTTTTTGACCAGTTCACACTACATAATTACAACAATTAAGACAATAATCCCGTTAGTAAAACTGGTGCGTGTTAAACATTAGATTTTCATGTCTTCATAATCGTCTTTAATTGCTCGAAGGAGAATTAATTTTCTCTTATTAAATATAATCTCTCAATTTATAAGATATAAAAGAATTCCTTACCAAAAGTCAAATAGACTGGAAGTAAGTTTTTTTTTAAGTTCTTCGCCAGCAACAACAACAATAAATACAAGAACAAGAACAAATATAACAGCAACAATAAATACAACAGTAGTAAAATCAACAATAACAATAACTACAATACGATAATAATAATAATAATAATAATAATAATAATAATAATAATAATAATAATAATAATAATAATAATAATAATAAAGTATCATCCAAGCGGTTCTAGTTATGTTGGGGAAAAAATGGACAAAATTACAGAAATAATAATAATAATAATCATAATGAGAAACAAAACTACTGTAGTCATGGTCTAGGTTAGAAAATAACGGTGTGTGAGACCCCAATTCCCACTGCCAAGACTACTACTCCTCAGTACATAACATCCTCTGGCGGGAAAAACAGATTAGGGCTAGGAGGAGGACCTACACTATCAACACGGCCGTCAGCGGCGGTACCTCTCGTAAAAAAGATTACATTAATGGAGGTAGAAGTTTGAATCACTCGAGTATAAACTTAAGGGCCATTACCACTAAGTCGGAGCTCCCCGCGGTTTAATCCAGGGTTTATGAGGGAGATTAATGCCGCTATGCAAAACTGTTGAGGTGGTGCGAGCCTCTCTTGTTGGCGGCGTCTGGCAACCTGCCCGCCTTACCCGCCAAAACGAGGCTATGATTCTCAAAATGTGTTATTTTTCTGACACAATTATCCTGTAATATTATATCACACTATTCACCACCATAAACTCATACGGATCAATACTTAATACTGCACCGTTAACATTTTATTTGTGGTGTTATTATCGATATCAGTAAAACACAATCTACATAATTATTCTAAAATTCAATATTACTTTAGATTTTCTCTTAACGGAGGAACCGAAAATGCTTCTAAATGATCAATATCAACTCCGACAGGATAATAAAATCCGAATGCACTGAGACTACTGGAACTAATGTGTTCTCTTATCACCAGTTCCTGAAAAAAACTTACCTACGAAGTGTTAAGAATCTGACCCCGTACTGAAGATAACTGTAGTTTTACTGATATCAATAAAAACAGCACAAATAAACATAAAAAAACAAAAACGATGATAACAAGGAAAGAATATGATAATAATGGTGTCCATTTATCACACATTACGGGTAATACACCTAGGCTATACTGTATTAACGTACACTATACATATTCACTTCAATAATTAAGATATCGTGTTCAAGCAGTGACAAAAAAAATCAAAGAGCGATAACTTCTGAAATTCTCAACCTGTCTCGTACTTTTGTCATAATTCTCTTCAATTTCTCCACAATAAAACGCTCAGGGACTACTCGCTTAATCCATTTAATGCACGCGAACGCCTAATGACTCAGTAATGCGCATCAGCTCCTTACACGAACGGTTTGTTTACGTTCTTGCGTCTTGAAGGGAAGTGGAGGGGAACGAGACGGGGAGGGAGAGGAGGAAGGAGAAATTTTACCGCGCAAAACTTTCTAAAGACTTATTATGAATGGCACGACCGCGTTCATTCACAATTTTTTACACATGAGCAGCGAGAGGAAATATGAATGACACTAATGGCGACGCTAGTGTTCTGAAAATGTCCGGTACTCTAGTAAATATATAACGTTCGTAAAAGCAATAAATGACGGTAAAATTACATCCTATTTACATAAGAGTTGCGAAGTCTTACAGTACTTTCATGGAGATATAATACCACATTATTATTTTCCGATGACTAAAATCCACCAACTACAATAACATGATGGACTTTATATCCTAACAATTACTTGAAGTGGTGTTTTGGCCTAATTACGTTAGGGTAGATTAACTTATGGTAGGGTTAAGTTGGATTAAGTTAGGTATAAAGGTTAGCTTAGGGTTAGGTAAGATTAGGGTTACGTTAGGTTAGGTTATTGGTAGATAAGATTAGGTTAAGGGGTTTACATTAGGTTTGGTAAGGTTAAGTTAGATTAGGTTAAATAGGTCAAACTAGGCTGTCTGAGTGTCTGACTTGTTCATGAGAGAGAGAGAGAGAGAGAGAGAGAGAGAGAGAGAGAGAGAGAGAGAGAGAGAGGTACGAATCAATAATGGTACTTAATTCAATTCAGTGTGTCAGAAAAAAATGTGGAAGGGATACGTGTGTGTGTGTGTGTGTGTGGAAGAGGATGGGAGGGTGGAAAGGCAGTGGGGGTTTGCAAAGGGATGGATCGAGAAGGGGACTGGGTGGGGAGGAGGGAAAGGAAGGAGGAGAAGAAAAGAAAGATTCGACGACAAAGAAAAAAAGGAAAGGTGGGAAGGAAAAGAAATTGATGGAGGAA